ACCTAAGCACTCAGTATACAGATGCACTGTGCTTATGGAGATGGGAACAGATAATTTTCTCAACTGCCCATAATATAGTCCTTTTCCCCTGTTTTACAGATTGGGAAACAGGACCATGCTAGTACCCACTAAACTCAAGTTCCATAAATGCAACAATGGTGGTTATTTTGTTCATAGCTGTTATCTCCAATGTCTGACACATAAAGAGTGCTCATTATATAAATTTTTGAATGAATGAACACAGTTAATAAGTGATAGGGTCACGATTTCAACTCGGAACAGCCCCACTCTGCCTCCTGGAGAAGACAGTGCATTCTATTGTAGCCATATTATGTTTGAGACCATGGCAGGGTATCTAGATGTTGATGTTCAGCCCATATCTAAATTCTGTCAGTGGAGCTTGAGAAAAAGGTCAAGGCTAGAATAAACTACCCATGTGGCGATTATGAAATCCTAAAATTATATAAGATGATTATGAGAGAGGGCTTAAACCCCAAAATATAATCATAGAGGATACCTATATTTAGATGTTGAGGAATAGGCATTTTTAAAAGCAATGAAGACATACAGGGCAAAAAGATAAAATGGAGATACAGATATAAAAACGAAGAGAGAAGAGAACAAAGGAGGATCATCTGCAATATCAACCGCTACAGAGTCATCGAGGAGCGTTAAGATTAAGACAACGTCACTGAATTTGAGGATTAGGAGATCATTGACGACTTTGGGTGAGCAGATTCAGGAAAAGAGAATCCAAGTAAGAGTTAGCTGGCATCTGGGAGGGTGGGGAGCTGGGTTGTGAAGGAAAGCGTGGGGAGTGAGGATGCAGAGCACCTGAATATAAACTTATTTGTAATTTCAGGAGAGCTAATAGTAGTAATACAAGAGGGGTTGAACATTTGAATAGGAGCGATCTCACGTGTTGTAGACAAAAGGGAAGGCTCAAGTAGGAAGAAACTAAAGATGGCAGGAAGAAAATAGGCCACTGATGGAGCATGACCTCAGAGGAGGCGGAGGGAGAGTGAGATGCGGGACCACCGTTATGAAGGGCAGTCCTTAGAAAGGGCGAGAGACATTCACCACTGGATGCAGGAGAAGAGCCTACCTCCAATTTTTTCCAAATAATTTTTTTTTCAAAAATTGAAAGAAAATATAGAAAAGTAGAGGTTGAGTAGAGAAAAATTAATGTTCAAATTGAAAGTCTCTAATTCTTTAAGAAGAATTTTTTTAAGAAGGAGGCAAGTTTACCTACTTAGAAAGCAGAGAAAGATTTCAGGACTAGAAGATAGAAGTATCGTATTTATTTTTTATTTAATTATTTTAACATTTACTTGTACATGTTTGTGGGGCACAGTGTGTTGTTTCAATAGATGTATATACCACACAATGATTTAGTTAGGGTAGATAGCATGGTTTTGTACCATTGTTTTGTCCACCACTTCTCTTTCCCCTCACTCTCAGCCCCTCCCAGCCTCTGGTAACCATTATTCTCTCTATTTCTATGAGAACCACTTTTTTTTTCTTTTTCTTTTCTTTTGTTTTGTTTTAGATTCCACATGTGAGTGAGATCATGTGGTATTTGTCTTTCTGAGCCAGGCTCACTAAATATTATGGTTTACAGTTCCATTCATGTTGCTGCAAATGATTTTTTTTTTTAATGTATACCTGAGTAGTATTCCATTCTATATACATACCATAGTTTTTTGTTTGTTTGTTTGTTTTATCTATTCACCTGCTGATCAACATTTAAGTTGATTCCATATCTTGGCTATTCCAAATAATGTTGCAATATATATGAGTACAGGTATTTTTTTGATGTATTGATTTCATTTCCTTTGGGTGTATATACCTGGTAGTGGGATGGCTGGGTCCTAAGGTAAATATACTTTTAGTTCTCTGAGGAACCTCATACTGTTTTCCACAATGGCTATACCAATTTACATTCCCACCAACAATGTAGGAGAGTTCCCTTTTCTCTGCATTTGTTATTTTCTGTCTTGTTGATAATAGCCATTCTAATTAGAGTGAGATGATATCTCATTGTGGTTATAATTTACATTTCCCTGATGATTGGTGATGTTGAGCATTTTTTCATGTGCCTGTTGGCCATTTATGTTTCTTTTGAGAAATGTCTGTTTAGGTCCTTTGCCCATTTTTTAATTGGATTTTTTGCTTTTTTTTGTTGTTGTTGTTGAATTGTTCAGGTTCCTTACATATTCTGGATATTAGCCTCTTGTCTAATATGTAATTTGTGAACACTTTTTCCCATTCTATAGGCTTTCTCTTCACTTTGTTGATTGATTCTGCTGTGCAGAACCTTCTTAGTTTGAAGTAATCCCATTCCTGTGTTTTTACTTTAGTTGCCTGTGCCTTTGTAGTCTTGTCCAAAAAAGTGCTTTTTTCAGGTAGCATTTCCCCTATGTTTTCTTCTAGTAGTTTCATAGTTTTGAGTCTTATATTTAGATCTGTAATACATTTTGAGTTTTTGTGTGTCATGGAGAGATAGGGGTCTAGTTTCTTTTTCTTTTATTTTTTTTTTTTTCCTTTTTGTCTTTTTTTTTACTGACCGGTAACGGGATCGCAACCCTCGGTGTCACGCCCATACCGGGGACCGGCAACAGGATCGCAACCCTTGGTGTTGCGCCTGCACCGCGCTCAGCCAGTGAGCGGGAACCGGTCTCCACATGGGATCCGAACCCTTGGCGGGAGTGCTGCAGCGCACTTCTCCAGTGCGCCACCAGGCTGGCTCTAGGGGTCTAGTTTCAGTCTTCTGCATGTGAATATACAGTTTTCCCAGCACCATTTATTGAAGAGGCTGTCCTTTCCCCATTCTACGTTTTTGGCAAAACGTAGAAAACGTAAAAAATCAGTTGGCTGCTGGCTACAAGTACATGGGTTTATTTCTGGGCTCTCTATTCTGCTCCATTGATCTATTCATCTGTTTTTAAGCCAGTACCATGCTGTTTTGGTTCCTATAGCTTTATAGTATATTTTGAAGTCAGGAAGTGTGATGTCTCCAACTCTGTTCAATAGTGCTTTAGCTATACAGGAGCTTTTGTGGTCCCATACAAATTTTAAGACCATTCTTTCTATTTCCATGAAGAATGTCATTGATGTTTTGGTAGGGATTGCATTAAATCTGTAGACTGCTTTGAGTAATATGGATATTTTGATAATGTTAATTTTTCCAACCCATGAACCAGAAATACCTTTCCATATATTTGTGTCCTCTTCAGTTTCTTTCACCACTGTTTTACAGTTCTCATTGTAGAAGTCTTTCACCTCTTTGTTTAAATTTACTCCTACGAATTTCATTTTTTTGGTAGCTATTGTGAATGGGATTACTTTCTTAATTTCTTGTTCAGCTAATGTGCTATTGGCATATAGGAAATCTACTGAATTTTGTGTGATTTTGTATCCTTTCCCTTTAATGAAATCATTTATCAGTTCTAGAAATTTTTTTGTTGGAGTCTTAAGGGTTTTCTATGTATCTGATCATATAATCTGCAAATAGGGATAGTTTGACTTCCTCCTTTCAATTTTGATGCCTTTTATTACTTTATCTTGCAGAATTACTTTGAGACAACAGTTGACAAAAGTTTACTGAATGCCTACTCTGAAATAAGTAGAGAATTCAGTAGAGAAGACATAAATAATAAAATAAAAACCGTTAGGAACCCAATTGAGATGAAATAGCATGAACTTTTAATAGAGCCCAACAGCATGGTTTCATAACTTTGATCAGCTTCTGAGAAGTGGTTATTGAAGAAAGTTAATGGTGCCACACAGGGTTGGGAACTGAGATGATGAGAATGGCAGACAAGCGTGGAGGAAGGATGGATTCTGCAGGCAAGTAAAGATAATATTAGCATGGTCTAAGCTGAGCAATGAGGTAAATGAATACTGAGTTTAGAACCTAAAGTTTGTGATTTGGGTATGACACAAATTATCATAAATGAGGAAATAAACAAAGTGTTTATGATCAGAAAAATAATGTTCAAAGTTTGAGGTCTTGAAGTAAAGTATTTCCAAATTGAGCAAAGTATAAAGTGCTGTTTCTGCAACTTTGGAGATTAAATAAGGAATTATGAGATCAATGTATTAGATGGACCAGAAGTAAAAATAAATAAATGTGGCAAGGGATGAGAGGGGGTAGAAAAGCCAACAGACCAGGCACCCAAATCATCAAGACAAGTAGGGTGTTATGATGAGTTCATAAACAGAGGAACAACAGGGCCTGGATGTCAAGGTTCAAAGATACAGGTTGGCAGAGGCAAAATGATAGTCTAAATTAACAATAGGGGATAAGAATGTTTTTGAGGCTGGTAGAATCTCCAGGGACAATTAAGGTAAAGATATTGGAATCTCAGCTTCATAATCAATCTAAACCATAGGACACTTTGGTTCACTATAGAACAGGAGGTCGGTCATCAGGGAGTAACTGATAGAGAAGTAAGCAAGGACGCAGAGCAGGAAGGGAGGAGGTTATTTGGAATCACATATAATCGCTGTTCCCTGTCCTATTTGCTTCTCTCATCTACCCTATTACCCTTTAACAGGTGACCCTTCTGATCCTTAAAATAGCCTATACAGTATTATCCCCATTCTACAGATGAAAAAAATCTAGTTGCAAAATTTGCATCTTGTCCTTACTGCAATTCCAAGGTCTTTCCACCACAACACACTGATGGTCAGTGGTCTTGAAAGTGTTACTCACCCTCCAAGGACTGATCAGAAATCATGTCTAGTTTATGTGAAATGGGTACAAAACAGTATATTTCTTTTTGTTTTTCTTGAATTATACTTACTTCTAAGAAAGTTCTATGGGAGCTTACATATGCAATACTCTATATTTGATTCTTTTTTTTTTTTCATGAAAAATATTGTGGACCCTTTTTCTGAAGGCATTAAGAAATTTTTTAATATATCCAATATGGTCACATTGAATCTGCACCTATACCCTAAAATAATGTTAATATTTATATTGCATTATTTTTCAGGTGTGAAAATGAAACCAAGTTCAAAACAGAAGAAGTATTTTGGGCTTACAATTTCTGCCCTACTCCGTACTCCTGGACTGCACTTCTGGGCCTTATTTTATATCTTGTTTTCTTTGCACCTGGTAAACAAAGTTTTTGTTGTTATTGTTGTTGTGTTGTCTCTTTTTAGGAGAGACAAGCTACTATTTTTCAAATTCCTTACATGCTATTTCACTGAAGATTTTAATTTTTTATTTCTGAGGAATGGGACCAATGCCTTGGACTGTGAATTCTGAGATATATCCCCTTTGGGCAAGAAGTACAGGAAATGCATGTTCATCTGGAATAAACTGGATTTTCAATGTTCTGGTATCATTGACATTTTTACACACAGCAGAGTATCTTACATACTATGGTAAGAGAATATTTTCCAACAGTTTCATTTTTCTTTTTCTTGCACTATTTTTAGATACACTGTTTAATCATTTGTAATTTAAAAACTCCATAGTTATATTTTTGCTGTCATAAATATCTCCATATGGCTTTCTTGTTCCCCAAAGCCTTGGGAATGTATGTGGAAGAGGAAGTCTCCTTTCCTAAACAGCACTGCTTCTTGCCCCTCAGTGCTGATGGCTGTCGACCACCCGATCTCCCAACCCATAGATCTCCCAGCTGCTTCTCCAGTTGGAAATCTTCACAACGTAGCTTTTAGTTTAACAAAGAAACATAAACAACAGAAAATGGTAGAAAGATGTAGGCAGGGAGTCTAAGGCCAATGAGATGTCCTGTGACAGGGACAGAGTCGAGTCCTAAGGCAGCAGCATCCGTTTAGGGCTGAAAGCGTACCCTGAAGTGCTGCCCTCTTGCCTTCCCTCTCTCATCACTGCTGTTCAGGCCAGGGTGTGTGCGTTTCATTGTCCTCTGAATGAAACCACTTCCAAAAGTGTAAACGTGACAAAGGTGTTCAAGGGAAGATATGTGGACACCATAATCTATAGGAAACGATATTGGGAAGTGGCTTATTAGGAAAATACTTTGGGAAGCTACTTAAGATCCATTTTTACTAAAGTGAAAAGACTTTATTTTTCCTTTTAGTAGTAGTAGGATTTCTGCATTGTCCACATGACTTTCTAGGTTGTGATAGAATCTAAATGATGAAATGTGTGGTTTCGTTCTGATTTCCCCATAAGCCTCTGCAGTGTATGTGGCATGCCTACTATTCAGACCATTCTTCCAGAAGACCTTCTCGTATTCCATCCCTCACCCCACCTCATGCCATGCTCTGAGCACTTATAACTCCTTTTTCCAAGAAGAGGTTTATTTGTCTGTCCTGCACCCCTACTATTAGACCATAAATCCCTCGAGTGCCATACCTATGCCTCATTCACCCTCATATTCCTGATTTCTTCCAGGGCCTCCTATTTCACCTGATAAGCACTCAAAAGTGTTTGTCAAATGAATAAATACATGGATGGATTTTGTAGATGAATAATGAATATGAGGAAATATAAAAATCTATTTCCCCTCTCTTCTGAAATGCTGAATTTGTATTTGCTTTTAGTTAATACTATTTATCTAATGCTTTTATTATCTTTATAAAACTCTTCTCTCTCCCAGACAGCACTTAGAACATTTAGGAATATTTATTTTCCTGGAAAGGAAATGCACTGGCATTTTAAACTGGATATATATTTAGTATATACAGTTTTATCCCATTTGGCAATTAAAATTTTTTACATAAATTCATGAACTTACCTTCATGACATAAATATGAGCACAATAAATATTTACTCATATTTGCTGATTCCTGAGAATGCTTAAATATTTGAAGACCAAAATATATACTAACATCCTGAGAAAGCAAAGTCATAGACCAAGTAATAAAAGTCTACACGGTAATACTTTTGATAGCAAAGCTCCTCTTGATTTTTATACTGCCAGAAAACATGAAGCAACAGAAGTGTAATCAAAATAGGGCATAAGTAGGCTTCTTTCAAAAACAGCCAGTTAGAAGCTTTTTGCTTTGCGTTAAGCATTTCTCATGTCAGCACACTGGTCCATTTTGTCTACTACTCTCTAGTAGTGGAAAAATTTCAATTCATGTTTTTTTCTCCCTTTCTTGTGTGAAATTTTAGTCTACATGTTACTGACTTATGAAGCTATGCATTTGCTTTCCTAATTTAACAAATATACATACTAATGGTGTATTTCTCTAGAAACTTTCTTGTCTTTTGTTTCCTCCCTTTTTTATTGTTTTATAAGATCTCAAATTTTGATTCCCTCCTAAATCATATTGTGCAGACAGGTCTACCTTGTACCCCATTTAATAATATTTATTACTAAAAACTACCATTAAAATATCACCAATATACCATTTTATATATAGCATGTGCAGCTAAATAGATCCCCTAGAGAGCATTATATCAATGTTTCCGTGTTGAGGTCCTGAAATCCAATCAGACATGGTCACTTATTCCTCAGTTTGTATAATTCAATTAAATATTTGTTTTAATCTGGAACTTAATATAGGAATCTGATAAGATGTACTTCCTTTGGAATAAAACTGAGGAATGTCTCTGCTCTTTAACAATACTGACAGTTTCGTTACAGACATTTTTTTTCCATTTTTATTCCAAGAGGAAATAATTGAGAAGGTGAGTTACATTACTGATTTGAGCAGAGCAGGTCACAGCCTCCCAGACCTGGCCACTCAGCTGTGGCCTAACCACAGGTCTCACCAGCAGAACCCACACTTCGTAAGCAGTTTTGGCATTTATTTGCCTGCTTTGGATTCCTCAAATTTTATGAAAGGGCTTTGTATTTTAATAGAATTTCCTTGAATTATTCAGCTTTGGGAATCTGGGTCACAAGCAATAATGTGTATCATTTTTAAGAATCTTCCTAATCCACCTAATTGTTTTGAACTATAGGAGTTTAGCACTGACAGATTTGATTCGTCACTTCAAATTATGCCACTGTTCCCAAGTTTTGTGAAAGATGATGATAAAAATAAAATACATCATATTTTATAAAGCCAAACTGGGTTTGCTCTATTACAGAGTTTGTAGCTCAGCAGCCTGGTGTAATGTTTTACCATCTGCACTTATTTTTCTGTATCATCATCATGATTACCATCTTTTCTTGTCCCTCCCCGCTAAACATTCCATTTCTGTTTCTACTTCCACAATTTTGCTTATCTGTACTCAGAACACAGGACTTCACCTTCTTTCATTTTTTGGTCAAAATTCCCACATTCTCCAAGAGCTGACTTGTCAGTATCACCCTTTTCATGAAAACGTTCTCAATTAATTAGTCCTACTAATCTTGGTCTATCTGTAATAGCAACTCTTCTTCCCTATTCATTTAGTAGACTTGAATAATGTGGGCTATCATTTTTCTGAGCAAGTAACATCCAAAATTCTAAAGGTCATGCAACAATTCTTTATAATTTGGCAAAGGAAGAATTATTTTCCCATTACGCAGATCAAAAGATCAAGTTCAAGAGAACTTAAGAAACTTTGCCCAAAGATTCAGCCTGGGTCATGTGAGTTTCAGAACCACATTCTTCACAGAGCCATGGAGCCTTCCTTTCACGCCAACACCCAGCCTTGCATCCCAGATGACCTAGTATTGTTTTCTGATTATTTCCATTAAAAAGAGAGAGAGAGAGCTTGTAGTAAGTCTTTAATGAGAACCAAACTGAAAAAAAGGAACTTTATATTTGTAAATGGAGTTGAATTTTTCTTAAACAAAGAGAATTGGATTTATTTAAGTCCAGCCCCTTAAAGAGGTGTATAGCTCTGACTACTTAATCTAACAAATTATATCTTGATTTAGTTAACCCTTTCATGTTTTTTCTAATATCTTATAATTTACTTCTGTTTCCGTTCTATTTTCTCATGGCTCCTCATTCCACAGAGCAGATTCTTTGGGGTGGCTAATTCAGCAGCATTTTTCCTCCATAGTTTTCCATGAGCATCCCCAAGACATGTTTGTATAGATAATCTGGAAATGGTTACTTATTAAGAAAGTAGCCTATTAATATGTCTCTCCCTTACCATGATGATTCAGGAAAATTGAGAAATATTGTTCAGTTCTTTCATTTCTATGCTTATTCAGCTTAAAGTTTGACTTTAAAATAAGCCTTTACGTTGTCTCATTTAGTCCTTTATTACTGATCTGCTGCCCAGAATATTCCATCCGGCAGTCAACAAGAGCACATTCATTCTCTAGACCCTCCCCAATGTGTCAAGCACTGCACTAGACATTGGGAACCCCAAAACAAACAAGCCATGGACCCTGCCCTCAAGGAGACTACTTTTGCCACTAAAATAGAAGAGCAGATCTCCCTCTCAAGCATCTCTTAACCATCTTTCCTATACCTGCTCCTGATTTGGGCTGTACCAGTTACAGAATTTTTAAACTGCCAGCACTTAAATATGAGCTGAAAAACTGTTTATTTTACTTACTGAGGAAACTAAGGCCCAGAGAGGTTAGATGAGTAATTAGAAGTCACATAGCCAAGACAGAAACCCAGCTCTTCCCCCTCCCAATCTCATATCCTTTCTCTAGCCACTTATCACATTAGTTTTTCATCTTCCTTCCCCCATCTCACATACAAGATGGTCTAAACTGAAGGTCTAAAATAAGCCAGGGACTACATTAGAGATCTTGTCTACCATCAAAAGCAAAACTATAAGTTCTAGTATTTAAATTGGGAATTAGATTATAAAGGAAAGCCATCTTGGAAATATGTAGAGAATACAAACAAGTCACACATTGATGTATCTCATCCGTCTAGGCTTGCTGGAAACACGATCAGGTCATATTTATGTCTTTGTAGCTGTGCCTCATTGACACGCATAATCCTACAGCAAAACAAAATTCTCTGACCTCATGGATCTTATATTCTAGTGGAAGGAAACAAAACAAATTGGTAAATTTTACATTATGTCAGATGACAGTAACTGCTATCAAGAAAAAAATGGACTATAGGGGTCTAAGAGTAAGGAACAAGGAGACCAGTTAGGAAACTGTTGCGAGGACAGCTCTTACACAACAGATGGCTGTGGAAAGTGGTGAGAAGTGCCCATCTTTGGGTTATATTTTGAAGGTAGATCCAGGATTTTCTAAGATTGAATGTTGGGTGTAAGAGTAAGAGAAAAGTCCAGGATGACTATCAGACTGTGGGCATGAGAAACTGGAAGGATGGAGTTTACATGTACTCCACTGAGGCATTAATTCAGCAATATCATCATTGTACTTGGTTCTGGAAATCCAAGAAGAGTAAGAAAGAAATTTCTCCTGATTTCAAAGTGTCTGCAGTCTAGTAGACAAGACAGACGTATACATGCACATAAATATAATGCTTCTTGGTTATTATGACAGGGATGTCAAGAAAGTGCTGTGAAAGCACACAGGAGAAAGTAACTCCCTCTAGCTAGAGAAGTGAGAAAACCCTTTGAAGCAGAACTGACATCTGAGCCCGGTCTCTATTCTTCTTGAGTTTGGCATGACCTGAGTTGAATTTCTAAACTTGAGTTTAGAAAGATAACTTTGTCCTTGACCACGGCCCCCTCCTTCCTTCTTCTGCCACCCTATCCCCCTCCTCTTTCCCCCCACCCCCCCACAACTGCTCCACAACATCTTAGAATGTAAAAAATATATATTTTAAAATAAATACAAAAAAAAAGATAAACTGTTAAATTCACAGGGTTAGAACAATTAGAGTAAACCAGGCTGGCAGTAATTTTTTAGTCCCATTTTATACCATGGTTATACATGATTCACCAGAAGAAAAGTCAAAATGAAGTACTCCTTCCAGCTTAAGTACATATATACCCTCATGTACTATGTATGTTATTTTCCATTGCAGGCGCCTTCTTCCTCTATGCCGGCTTTGCTGCTGTGGGACTCCTTTTCATCTACGGCTGTCTTCCCGAGACCAAAGGGAAAAAGTTAGAGGAAATTGAATCACTCTTTGACAACAGGCTTTGTACATGTGGCACTTCAGATTCTGATGATGGGAGATATATCGAATATATTCGGGTGAAGGGAAGTAACTATCATCTTTCTGACAATGATGCTTCTGATGTGGAATAATGTTCAGCTGCTGATATATTTAGTTATTTAAACAAACTTGGGGGAGAAGAACCGTGATTGGTGACCTCACTGCCCTGCTTCTAATCTGGTTCTTTCTACAGTCTAGTTTTGAGTGACTTCATAATCTTGAATACTTGATTAGGAGGAAGATACAACCGTGATGACATTTTTCTTTCACAAGCAGAAATGTAAAAACAAAAATATTTACAGAGATTTTAATCTAATAATTCTTGAACACGTGTGTAATTCCTTCCTGAGATAGTCTAAAATGAACATTGTACCCAGTGACTTCAGTGATACCCTTTTCCCCTAAGACCATATAATAATTATTAGTGGCAATAGAGTCAGTGCTAATCTAACCAAATTAATATGTATGATATATTTATAAAGGACTCTGGGAGATGGTCCAAAGGTGTTTATGTCCAAACATGGCCTGTTGGCCCTAAATTTTCCTAAGGAGTAGTGGCTTTTCTGTGATCAGCTGTTAGCAAGTAAATTCCATTTAAGCTTTCATCAACAAATTCAAAAGTACCTCCTACAAGGGCACATCTGTCCTTTTCTCCTTTGGATTCCACATTTTGGTTTCTCTCTTCAATTCAGACAATGGGAATTCTTCAGAGACTGATTCTGCACAGGATCTTTTTGAACATTATAAAAAGCAGGTCTTTCAAGAGTTATTTTTCATATATGTTTTTTGCATCAGTGATAAGTATATATTTACATGGATACGATAGCAAGTTTTGATAAGTATATTTTATTGTCAGAATGTAAAAAGAAAATTTTTAGGGATCCCTGATTGGTTAGTCACTTAGGTATGCAATTGTAAATGAAAAATAGTGCTGGAACTTTATTTCAGGGTCAGTTTTTGTTCGTGCCCAAATCATCACACTTTCACTCATTGACTCTGGAGTCCTACTATTTTCTGCCTTCATTTGTGTTATATAAATAGCTGCTAGCAGACTATTTTCCCCTTTCTTTTAATCAAACAATAATTTTTGAAATAAAGAGAGGAAGGAAATCAGTGGCAGAAATAATTCTGCTGTTATTGATGTTGGTTTAATTAAAATAGTGGGACTTACTTTTTCTTAACTTTTTACTAATTCTTCCTAAAGGAATTGTCACATTTTATTACTTAATTGTACTTGTCTTTTTTTTTTTTTTTTACTGTAAGAGCATAAACTAGTTTTTATTTTGCACACCTTTCCTTCTTTTCCCTCACAGCTTACAAAAATTACATAAATTTGTCTGTGTGTTCTTTTTTTCTCATGCTTGGCTTGGATTTTTTTCCTCCTTGTCTAAAATTTGAGATTTTCTATTGGAACAGGTGAGTGCTTCTAATATAGCACGTGTCTATAAGAAATGTTGACTTATTACATTTCTGCAATGTGTTTCCAAAGTGATCATTGGCTTTTATGTTTATTCATCACTGAACTCTTAATTTTTCCTCTTCTATTGAGAACTATGTAGTATATATGAAATTACTCACTCACAAAATTACTTGCTAATTCCAGTAAGAATATGAGTGAATCTTCTGTGGCTGGTTAGAAATGCACCGGTTTGATCCATTTTAGTATGGCCCTAAACCACTAATAAAGTACTATATTAGGAGTGAGAAGGTGGCTATCTCCAAATCAATTTCTGCCAGTCTCCAAGATGTTTTATTATTCTTTTAAAGTCTGGCTTGTTCCTCTCACAATTACCAAGCTGAGAATATAGCCAAGGAAGTCCATTCTCTAAGTCACCAGAGGTACAATATGTGCTTAACCAGTCACTTTAGTGCCCTAAAAATCCTTCAACCAAAAAACATTCTCCCTTTGATCATTTCATATAATAAAAAAAATTTAATATTTTAGAGTTTTTTCCTTGAATTAGGTGCTTAGACAATGATTCTAAAGGGACAGTAATATTGACTTTCCCCAGAAAAGCAGATATGATTTAGTAGAGAAAATTATTGTTTTATTGATATTTCTTATCCAATAAGAAATTTCTTATCTAAGTAATATTTTACACAGGTAAAGTGAAGTGGAAAATGAGCTACTGTGTGGTACAATCAGAATATGATGGAAAGAAAATATATTTAGACAAATAAAGTGCTCTCTTTAATAATTTATTTTTTGATTTATCCAAATAATTGCTTCAATTCTTTATTGTATACATAGCCTTAACTATATACTTATATACTCAGAGGAGCTGATGCACAGTAACTTTATTAAAGAAGCACCAGACTCTTATTATTTTCTAAAACAAAACATGGCCTTTTCTCTGACATAAGAAAATGATGTTTTCAACTTTATATCCATAAATGCACAAACAGGGAAAATTAGCCACAGTTCACTCCCCTGTTCCCCTCAACCCCTTCTTTAAAAGGACTATTTGTTATTTATATAGTGATAAAGATAACATTCCATGTCTTTTAAGTACAAGACAGAGAGTCACAGATTAAGATTTATAACTTTTTAAAAACAAATAACTACTTGAAAAGGAACCTTATATGATAAGGGTATTATTTTTAGATTTGGTGAACATTTATAGTATATTAAAAATTAAATGTTTGAATTTTTCAAGTTTTTTTAAATTACGCACCTTTTAGGTTCTCAGCGTCTTTGGGTGCCACTACCAAGTTGAAAACATTCCATTTGAAATATCATCAAATGTATATTTTGTAGGACAATTTATATATGGCATGAGTTGACCTACCATATTAAAACAAACACAGATTAAGCATCATGCTTTCAACTGAAATTATAGGTTTCCTTCTAAACATGCTGCAAATTCAATAGAAGTATGTTTTATGAAAATATGGTTAAGAAGGTCCTAATCCCTACTGAGGCTTAGCCAGATGGCTGATCTGCACTAGAAAGAGAGTATATTAGTTCATCTGCATATAAACACATAGGGCTGAACGTGATGTCAAAAAGATTTGGTGTTAATATTTTTCTTCAGTGTAAACATTCTAGTTTTGATTGTTGCACCTTAGTAAGTCATTACTCAAAACATGATTATTTTTAATGTATATGTAGAAGATCTAAATTGAAACTAGATTTAGTTCACTAGGTGACTCCCTCCCCAAATAAAAGGCAGTGTTTCTGCTTGAACTTTTGTTACCAGCCATATGCAGTGGTCAGTTCCCTGACAGAAAATGCTGAGATGAGAATAATGCTACCAAGTGATTTTTCATAATTGAATTTTACCACTGAACCAGATTTTAATACATAAGAATCTAAATATTATTTAAGTTATTCACTCTTAACTGGGAAATAAAACAAGGAATTTATTTTCAATATCTGTTATACGGGGGAGATATCAGAAATATATGTTGACAGCATATCCTTTTGCTTTTAAATAGCAAAGTAAAATTGAAAATGTGTTATAATCCATAGAACCTGGGGGGAGGGGAGTGTAAGGATATTTTAGAAATCCCAATCCACATGTTATCTAAGAAAGTCTCACAATTTAATGACACTAATATAGTTCATAAATACATAATACAAGTGGGGAGAGTTGGAGTATTATTTTTTATTATCACAATAATTAAGAATAAAATTAATGAGATGTTTTATTAGATTTTTTTTTTTTTTTACCATTTTTCATGTTATAAAACATCAAATTATACTAAGTACCTAACAACTGACTTTTATTCAGTTGTGGTGACGTTTTTTCAATTACCAAATGCAGACCTTTTCACTAACTAGGAATAATAGAACTAGATGACATACTCGGCCAGGAGCAGAAAATTCATAATAGGTAGTTTAGAGCAAAATCTATTAAATTGTGGGTAAAATTTACAGCTCATATGTAGCTGCTGATTATAAAAAGACACAGAATAGTTCTCTGGATTAATTTTAATGTCTTGTTTTCTGTCTCTTTCTATTAATTTTCGTAGCCTCATGTACAATAATGTTAAAAGCTAACTTGATGAAGTGGTTCAGGTTATAGCAGTGTATAAATTGTCAGTACATTTAGTTCTTGTAGGTGAGCAATATTGCTGCTATTTTCTAGAAATAGCAATCATTTTTAAATGCCAGCCAGCTAACTGCTACCAACTCTTTTTTGTATATTGTCTCTTTAGAGAAAGAAATTTTTGTGTGCCAGTAATCATCAGAGAGCAGTTTTGTAAGTGTTGATGTTTAGAAGTACATGCAAGTATTTTATCAACATAATTTGCTTGTGTGTATAAAATATAATTCCTTTATATGTATTAAGTACAGTCCATTGTACTTGATTAATTCGGTCAATGGAATTTTAAATACTTTCATTTGGCAGTAATAATCAGAATTCTATTTTAGATGGTTATGTTTATGTGTTTGATTTTGTCATATCAGTATAAATGAGAAAAATAAATGGACCATGCAGCTAACCAGTACTTAAAATTAAAAACCAATATTTTGCAAAGTTTAAGCATTTTAGCAAATTTAACATCATTCCATCTCATTTAAAGTTTAAAAAAGATGAGATTTAACTCTAGCCAAAGTAGAAATTTATATTCTACATGTCCAAACTGTTTCCTAGCAGCTTTTGGACTCGATGTTATAGTTATCTTCTATTTGTAATCAATGTTCAAATTTCTATTTAGAAGCTCTAATGTATATCTAGATTAAATCAAAACACTATTTTATGCTTCTAAAATATATGTATTTCAAACTGTATATTTTAATTTCTGAGTGCATGTTATATAGTGTTTAATACTTTACATGTCTTGGTGAACTCAATATAAATATTTATTCTCACATGTGACATATGGGATATCTCTTAATTATGAATATGGACCATTTCCTTCAGAGTCATCCTAGCCTATGCTGTATCAAGAGTATTGTATATTTTATGGAGATTTAGTGATATACATGTAAATGTTTTTTAAGTTATTTTATTGAAGTTCAATCTTTACATAAAATTATAATCTTTTTTTTAAAAAAAAGTGTCAGTGCCAGAACTGTAAATGAAGATAATCAAATAAAAGTTACAATAATTCATTACTTCATTCCTTATTTCTTTTCCTTGCATTTTATTTTCTCTGATTCTCTTCCTTGAATTTTAGGATCTAGATTACACAGTTAAAGCGCATCTACAAAGACAGTCTACCTCTATATATTCATGTAATCCTATTCATTTTAGTGATATTATACTTTTTTTGATCATGGATAAACTCAATTATATTTTAAAATATTTTAATACCTAAAAATTGTTCAAAGGAATTATTCTAAATGGTAAATATAAAACTTTGAAATGTGGTGCTTACGGGCCGGCCCAGTGGCGCACTGCTACAGTGCGCTGCTTGGGAAGTGCGGCGGCGCTCCCGTCAAGGGTTCGGATCCCACATACAGACCGGTTCCCGCTCACTGGCTGAGCGAGGTGCGGGCGCAGCACCGAGGGTTGCGATCCTGTTGCCGGTCCTGGTCCGGTACGGGCGCGACACTGAGGGTTGCGATCCGTTGCCGGACACGAAAAAAGACAAAAAGGAAAAAAAAAAAAAAAAAGAATGAAATATGGTGCTTAGAAATCCTTGAAATATTATCTATGGTTGTTGTCAGAACCAGGTTTTGATATGAACCATTAAGTAGAGTTGTCAAAAATTATTTTTGGTTGTTGCTCTGTAAGTGAAAAACAAAATACCTGCTGGATGGCCAGATGACAGTTTCTTTTACAATGCTCTTGCTGTCCATTGCCGTTCTACCCCAACCATAGCTTTTATTAGCAAACACACAATTGTTTGATGTGGTCAGTTAAACTTGTCTCCATAGTTCGGTGTTCCTCATCCTGAGCTGACTGTGCAAACAGCTCAAGGCGATCCTCTGAAGATTTCTCTACCCTACTACTGTCGGTCATTCAGAGATTTACAGTGGAGTTACATCTAACTAAGGATTTTAATGTCAACAGGTAAGGCAAAAATCCTACAGTCAGAATGACTCTTGAAAATCCCACATATAACCCATAAATTTGGGCCGGCCCGTGGCTCACTCGGGAGAGTGCAGTGCTGATAACCCATAAATTCTCCACTCACTTGAATAGTGGACACCTGAATAATGAAGTATATGTCTGTATCAGTCATCAGAAAAAATTCTCATTGTCCAATCCTGTGGGGTAAACATAGTCGTCCTTTTCTGGATACTAAAACTTAAACTCAGAACATTTTGGTGACTTGCTCAAGATTGCACACTGGGTCATAGTAACTTTTCTCCATAGTAACTACTCCAACAGTCTTCCTCTCTAGGTCCTCATTTGGAATGCCCTCTTGTCAGACCTAGGCAGATCGATTTCCAAAATAGAGACATTATAGAATTTTTGCATTATAACTTAATAACTTACAGAGTGTACAGAAAAACAATCAATACCTCATTTTAACCAGGACTATAGGAACAAACCTGAATATCTTTAACTTAGGGATTATTCTCAAATATGAGACAGTATAGAACATTGTTTAAGAAGTCATACTGAACTCAAATTGTCTGCTTTTGAGTAGACAATTTGAATCCTAGCTTTTCCACTTACTGCCTAGTAACCAGTACCGAGTTACTCTTTGCCTCACTTTCATTGTCTATAAGATGGAGATGATGTTATTATCTACCTCATACATATATGTGTTATAAATATTATATCAATCATGTAAAGTAGTAGCACAAAGTAAAGGCTATGTGCCTGGCATACTTAGTTTCATCATCTATATGCTGTCCCTGATGCTACTAAAGTCACAATGTTTGAAGCACAGGCAATCTGCTTATTAAGTCCCTTCCTCAGTACAACTACTAGGACAGGGGCACATAGCCTTCTTTGACATGTGTCATCCCTGCTGACCAGAATGATTTGGGCTGATCTGGCTGACTACCCTGATGTCCCTCTTCCTTTCTCGAGGTTTTCCATGAGCATCCTCCTGAATGGCACAGTTGATGAAAAGCACAACCTTCCCATATTCTCCAGATTAACAGGACTTAATACACAATTTCTATTTTGTGATCTCACAGCCAAGAAATAAATAATTTTAGAGAATCTCTCAGTAAGCTGTCATTTAAAGTCCTTTCAATATTTAAAACATAAATTTTTGAAATACTCTTCAAACAAAAACAGGAACATTAACCCTCACCAATTGGTTAGATGGAAATGAAGCTCACATTATTGTAGACTCCATGCATGCAATATGAAACATTGAGGCTATTTTTTTACCTTTTAATATTTTGTGTACTTTTCCACTGCACCTACAAAAATTAATTTCAGATCATGAGCATGCACAGTATTTTTTACATAAAATTTTGACATGCTTTATTTTAGCAAATCTCTAATGCTTTTCCTTTCTTTTTGCAGATCTAAGTTTCTGCCCTATATCATTTCCTTTATGTATTAGTCCAGTTCTGTTGCTTATAACATAATACCTTAAATTGGCTTATTTAAAAGGAAATAGAATTTATTTCTTACAGTTTGAGAGGCAACAAGTCCAAACTCCATAGAACACATCTGGTGAGGGCCTTGTTCTTGGTGGTGGCTCTATGGCAACACAGGGCAAAAATGGCTTAGCAAGAGAGTTAAGCTTCTCAGTTGCTCTCCTTTTAAAGCCATCAGAACCAAGCCCATTACCACCATTAAACCACCAATGGATTAATCCATTCACCAGTGCGTGGTCCTTATTATCTAATCACCTCTTAAAGGCCCTACTTTTCAAATCCCATAATCAGACTTCCCACATTCTTAACTCTGTTACAGTGGGGATTAAGTTTCAATGAGTTTGGGAGACATTCAATCCACAGCACCTTCTCTATGAAGAACCTTAAACATTTCTTGCAAGGCAGGTCTATGGGCAACAAATCCCTTCAATTTTTGTTTGTCTGAGAAAGTCCTGATTTCTCCTTCACTTTTTTTTTTTTTTTTTGTCTTTTTCGTGACCAGTAAGGGGATCGCAACCCTTGGTGTGGTGTCACCTGCACCGCACTCAGCCAGTGAGCGCACCGGCCAGTCCTATATAGGATCCGAACCCGCGGCGGGAGCATCGCTGCGCTCCCAGCACCGCACTCTCCCGAGTGCCCTCTCCTTCACTTTTGAAGGTAACTTCTCAGGATATAGAATTTTAGGTTGGTGGTTTTTTTCTCTGAACAATTTAAATATTTCACTGCATCTTTTCGTGCTGCATGGTTTCTGAGAGGAAGTCGGATGCAGTTCTCATCTTTGTTCCTGCAGTGGTTTTCCTTTGGCGCTCTCAAGATTTTTTTGAACTGATTTTCTGCAGTTTGAATATGATATGCATAGTGCAGTTTTCTTGGCATTTATCCTGCTTGGTGTTCTCTGAGTTTCCTAGGTCTGTAGTTTGTTGACATTAATTTGGGGTAAATTTTCAGTCATTTTTGCTTCATTTCTTCTGTTCCTTTCTTTCTTCTCCTCCTGGCATTCCCATTATGTATAGTTACACCTTTTGTAGTTATCCCACAGTTCTTAGATATTATGTTCTGTTTTTCCCCCACTCAGTCTTTTTTCTCTTTGCCTTTCAGTTTGGACATTTCTATTGTCATGTGCTCAAGCTCAGAGATTCTTTCCTGAGCTGTTTCCAGTCTACTAAGGAATCTATCAAAGGCATTCTTCATTTCTGTTACAGTGTTTTTAATCTCTAGCATTTCTGGTTCTTCTTAAAATTTCCATCTCTCTGCTTACATCACTCATTTGTTCCTACATGTTGTCAACTTTTTCCATTCGAGCCCTTAGCATGTTAATCTTGTTGTTTTAAAGTCCTAGTCTGATCATTCCAATGTCCTTTCCATATCCGAGTCTGGTTCTGATGCCTGCTCTGTTTCTTCAGACTGTTTTTTGCCTTTTGTTATGCCTTGTAATTTTTTGTTGAAAGCCAAACATGATGTACTAGGTAAAAAGAACTTTTTAAAATTTATTTTTGATTTATTTTTATTTTTATTTTTTTTCCTTTTTGTCTTTTTTACTGACTGGTAACGGGATCGCAACCCTCGGTGTTGCGCCTGCACCTCGCTCAGCCAGCGAGCGGGAACCGGTCTCCACATGGGATCTGAACCCTCGGCGGGAGCGCGGCCGTGCTCCCAAGCGGCGCACTCTCCAGTGCGCCACCGGGCTGGCCCTTAAATTTATTTTTTAACCGAAACATAATTGGTTATACTTTATGAGTTGCAGAGTTGACTATCAGTATTTGTGTACAATATGTGGATTGAATCAATATTATTAGTATTTTCACTACAAATTTTAATTATTCTTTGTATCCTTTACCCAATTTCTCTGTAACCCCCTTCCCCCTCCCCCTTTCCCACTTCTAGTAACCATAGGTTTGTTCTCTCCTTCTGAAAGTTCTATGTGTTATTGTGGTTCTTTCATTTCTCTCTTTCTTCCTTTCTTTCCTCCCTCCCACTTAGAGTGAGGACATGCAGTATTTCTCTTTCTGTGCCTGGCTTATTTCACTTAACATAATTTTCTCCAAGTTCATCTGTGTTGCTGCAAATGCCAGAATTTCATTCTTTTCTATGGCTGAGTAGTATTCCGTTGTGTATATATACCATATTTTCCTTATCCAGTCGTCCATTGATGGACATTTAGGGTGGTTCCGTATCTTGGCTATTGTAAACAGGGCTGCGATGTACGTGGGAGTGCACGTGACCCTTCAACATGATGATTTCCAGTCCTTTGGGTATATACCTAGAAGTGGGATTGCTGGGTCATACGATAGTTCTATCTGTAGTTGGCTGAGAAAACTCCATACTATTTTCCATAATGGCTGTACTAATTTACCATCCCTAGGTAAAAGTAACTTAATAGGCCTTTAGTGATATAGAGGTAAGATGTCGGGGGAGGGAAATAGCTCTGTAGTTCCATGATTAGCTCTCAGTCTTTTAGTGAGCCTGTGCCCCTGGGCTATGAACATCACTGGTGCTTCGTTTTTTCTCTCCCTAGATGGGATAGGACAGTTTGGGGCTGGAGCTGGGTACTCCCCTCCCCCAGGTCAGTCAGGCTCTGCTAAAACCTCAATAGGTAAGGCTTCCCTGTAAAACAG